TGTCTGCCTGCCTGCCTGCCTGCCTGTCGTTCTGTCTGTCTGTCTGTCTTTCGTTCTGTCTGTCTGTCTGTCGTTCTGTCGGTCTGTCTGTCTGTCTGTCGTTCTGTCGGTCTGTCTGTCTGTCTGTTGTTCTGTTGTTCTATCGTTCTATCGTTCTATCGTTCTATCCGTCCATCTGTCAGTATGTCATTCTATCTTGAGAAACTTGAAAATTTGGTTATATGATTTAAAAAAATATTTTTATTCAATTTTGGATTGCCATTCTGCATCCTTTTTCCTCCAAGTCATATTGACATTTTAAAGGCAATGTTTAGGCAATAACACAAGCAAGTGTGCAGTTGTTGTTAATCACATTTGCGAGTGTAATATTGTTTTTATATAACAGTGAAACAAGGTAAAATTTAGTGACTTACATTTTAGACAGTGTTGGCACTTATGTCATCTCTTTTTGCTCCGTTGACGAAAATAGTTCCAAATGAAGCCAAATAAGAATCAATATAGTGAACAGCGAAGCATCCCACGCTAAGTATATAAATCAGACCTTGAATGTGGCTAATTCAGTCTTAACTATATAATTCTAGTTTGATCATTTTTGTAATCTGCACCCTGTATGTTTGATTAACTCGTTGTTGTGTGTATTTATCGCTTGGAAGCCATTTGAAACCCATTTTTGTGCTTGTGGATGAAGACATCGCCAGAGAGTGACACAGAGCTAATTTCCCCTAATAAGACGTCACCAGCAGTGTGAGTCGAGTGTGTTATTCCAGGAGAGGATCTCAAACACACTGAAGGTCGACTGATTGATCCGGATCTAAGTATAAACATTGATTAAAAGCGCCGAAAAACTCTGATCTCTTTCCCCGCAGGCTATCAGAAACCTGGCCTCATTTGTTCTGCTATTGATGCTCCTTCCTCATCCAGGAGTCTGTCTGTCTGTCCATCCATCGGTAGAGCTGAAACCTGAATTACTTTTACACAAACAGTAAGTTTAAAACTATGGCAGTGTTTGAAATGGCATATTATCATACTAATCAGTATGAATACTGTGCATAGTAGGCCTATGCAAATTTTCCGTATGCATGGAAAACACAGATGGTGTCCTTTATTGGATCTGCTAAATACAACTCAATACAGCTAAATACAACTGTCCAGAATGGCATCCTACCATGCAACTGCTACTATATTGCAGTATGCAATGTGTAAACTGTTAATAAAACGCAAATTTTCTGTATGCATGGAATTACATGAAATCTAATGCATGAGTGAACTATACACACGCTACTGTAAACTACAAACTATTGCTGTGTGTCTGAAAATGCTACTGTTAGTAGCAAGTTAGTTGTACTTTAATCTCTACGACGAGTCTCTGATCAAGTCGAATGAATTCACCATCATCTTTATAGCGCTTTATACAATACAGATGGTTTCAAAGCAGCTGTATAGAGTTCAGTTCTGCTGTAGAACAGTGTCATTGTTCACTTAAAGACAGTTTCCGTGTGGATTCAGTTCCATGCAATATGTAAAGTTAATTAATTATGAAGTTACATTTACCTAATATGTAGGACATGATCATAAATCAGAGAATTATTTGTGAGGTTTTGGAAAACCAAGCTATAATTAGTTATCGACGAGTCTCTGATCAAGTCGAATGAATTCACCATCATCTTTATAGCGCTTTATACAATACAGATGGTTTCAAAGCAGCTGTATAGAGTTCAGTTCTGCTGTAGAACAGTGTCATTGTTCACTTAAAGACAGTTTCCGTGTGGATTCAGTTCCATGCAATATGTAAAGTTAATTAATTATGAAGTTACATTTACCTAATATGTAGGACATGATCATAAATCAGATAATTATTTGTGAGGTTTTGGAAAACCAAGCTATAATTAGTTATTTTTACCTATGTGCAATTGAAGTATTCTATACAGTAAAATATGATTATTCCTGTAAGGAGCTGTATTGTTACCTGAACCCTTAAAAATGAACTAACCACGATAACAAGATAATTATATTTTTGACTTGAAACCATTTCATTTACCACAGTAATTTTCTTTTTAATTTTTAAGAGAAAAACACGATTTAATTTCATGACTTTACACCAACAAACAGAATTTCTGTGGAGTCAAAAGGAAAGACATTTTCACTCAGTGAAATAGATGGATTGCGTGCTGATGAGTTGAATCAGGGGTGTTTGATTAGGAAAATACAGTAAATATGTACTGTTGTATTTTCTCCAGGAACAGGGTTGGGAAATATTGTCTTATAGATTCATGTTGAGATAAGGGTTCACAGAGCAAACATATGTTTTAAAGTAATATATTTATCCATTTACTCGTCTAATATTGTCAGTCATAAATAGAGGATGACTTAACACAAGTGCAGCACTCTAACAATTTTTTTTTTTTTTTTGTAATATGAGGAACCATAGTGGCACTTCTGACTCACTTGGTGTCCTATGCAAAATAAAACACAAAATAGTCTCCATTTAGTGCGCAATTTGTGATGTGTAAATGTGCAATACGTAATCTGCTTTTTAATGTCGTAGATAATGGCTTTTTGATGAAAGGCTTCAGTGGTTTCAAGTGTGGTGTTTTTTTCTTTCTTGTAGACACATCTATATGGAAGCTTGTTTCTGCCACAGAATAAAAATAAAAAGGTAATTGTGACTTTTTATTTCACAGCTGACAGCTCTCGCAGTTTCAGGTTTGTCTCATAATTCTGACTTTTTCCCCTCAGAATTGGGAGATATAAACTTGCAATTGTGAGTTATCAAGTTGAGTTGTGAGGGGGGGAAATCTGATATGTTCTTGTTTTATATCTCACAATTCTGACTTTACAACTGAAAAAAGTATAGGAAAAAAAATGTGCAATTGTGAGAAAAATATCAGAATTGCGATCTTGCAATTCAGACTTCATAACTTGCAATTTTGAGTTTATACCTCATAATTCTGAGAAAGAAATAATAAAAAGTTGCAATTAATCTTTTTAAAAAAAATTTTATTCCGTAGCAGAAACAATTTTCATGCCCAATTTCCATTATTACTGGTACTATAGCATTTTTACGTTATTGGTAGACCCACAAAAATCGTATGCACCTTTTTTACCCCAATTGTGCTGGACATTGTGGAATTCATTTTAATAGATTTGGCACTTTTATTTTATTTATTTATTTGAGGTTGATTAGCTTGCCAGTCCTAATCCTCCTTACATACTATAATATTTTTCTAAAAAATTTAGAAAAATATGATATTGTGTAAGCTCATAGTGTACTAACAATCAAAATTACTTTTCACATAATATAATACGGTAGTATATGAGAAATGTATTATATTATAAACACACTGCAGCAATTTATAATGTAATCACAGTTCATAAGGTAACACCAGCACATAATGTATCAAATAACTGCGACACACAGAGATGCAAACTTTCAAGGTGCAGACAATTACAAAACTTGTACAAAATGTAAGCTTCAAATACACCGTTCAATCAAATAAATATAATTTTGCTGTACTTTGGCTTAATCTTTACACTTAAAAAAAAAAAAAAAACTATAAGAGACAGGTCTTTGAAATATATACAATGTTATTTCAGGGTGTTTTCAAATGAATCACAAACTGATAACACCAAATAATAATATGTAAAATAACATTAGTTTTGACTCCGACTCATGATTGGCCACTGCTGGATTTAGTCATGTGATAAAGCATTTAAAAGAACACACATGACAGGCATGGTCAAAACTGTTTGCGCAGCAACAGCGTAGAATCGCGTTTGCATCCCTGAACACTATGAAGACTATGAAGTTGCTCTGTTTCTGTTTCTGACTGGACTTTTGGGCCGTGCACAAGGTGAGTGACTTTAATTAACGTAGCAGCATTTCTTTTTGTGCTAATTGATATTTGAATTTATTCCAAACTGAGTTTGATCTCCACACAGGCTGGCAGAACAACTATGACGGGCCTCTAAACTTTAACTGTCCTGCAGGCCAGTCAATATCCTCCATTACGAGGTGAGTACCGCTTATTAATGCGCACTATAAACATATAATAAACTTCAAGGCATAATGTTCACAAGTAGTGTGCAGACATCCCACCCCGCAAAAACTCATTTCCGGGTGATGGCACTCCCCAGCATCAGTTTAAATGATTTAAATTAAATTAAAAAAACCCTGTTTGGTTCGGTTCATTCTGATGAATTCCGAACGGAAGGAGAAGCATTCAAAACGCAAGTGCAAATGGTAAATGCATCACTGTTGACAACTTCTGACAGAATCACCAAAAATGCATTTTAACACTTAATTTACAGTGTTTACATAATTTGCAGGTGTCGGGGTGTCTGTGTATGTTAGGGTTAGATTTGCCATGTATGAACGTAATAAATTGTTAGAAATTTCAAAATTTCAATGTAAATATTAATGCAATTAAAATGTGATTTTGCATTTTTTTCTTCATGCCAACTTACGATAACAAAGTGAAAACAGCAATCACCATGAGGACCGGCGTTGGGAATTTGGCTGCCAAGCCACCTTTGGCCAGAGCGCAGAATGTTACTGGACAAATTACGTCAACGACTTCGACCAAGCGCTCCTGTTTGAGTGTCCAGCAGAACATGTGATGACAGGAACGAGCAGCTACCACAATGACTACTTTGAGGACAGACGGTGAGCTCTGTTCCACTGATTCTCATCTGTGTCCCTGCAGCACAAAAGCAGTGTTAAGTCGCTGGGGTATATTTGTAGCAATAGCCAACAATACATTGTATGGGTCAAAATGATCGATTTCTCTTTTATGCCAAAAATCATTAGGATATTAAGTAAAGATCATGTTCGATTTTTTTGCACCCTCAGATTCCAGATTTTCAAATAGTTGTATCTCAGCCAAATATTGTCCTTTCAGATGATGTATAAATCCCAATTTCAAAAAACTGGTCCAGGGTCATATCTTTGAGCTGATGCATGTTTTCTCACAGCTGGCGGTTTTACTGCTGTAGAAGTCCGTGTGTTACTAAAGACTGTCATTGGACCTCGTATGTGAACTCCTTTGATGAGTACTTCACCTGGACTGTGCCTTCCAGGAACATTCTGGTGGGAGCTCAAAGCTACCATCAAAATCATGAAGAGTAGGTTTAATTTATTTACTTACTCGTTATGTTATTTCTGATATCCAAAAATTATTAGGATATTAAGTAAAGATCATGTTCCGTGAAGATATTTTGTAAATTTCCTACAGTAAATATATCAAAACTTAATTTTTTATTAGTAATATGCATTGCTAAGAACTTCATTTGAACAACTTTAAAGGCGATTTTCTCAATATTTAGATTTTTTTGCACCCTCAGATTCCAGATTTTCAAATAGTTGTATCTCAGCCAAATATTGTCCTTTCAGATGATGTATAAATCCCAATTTCAAAAAACTGTTCCAGGGTCATATCTTTGAGCTGATGCATGTTTTCTCACAGCTGGCGGTTTTACTGCTGTAGAAGTCCGTGTGTTACTAAAGACTGTCATTGGACCTCGTATGTGAACTCCTTTGATGAGTACTTCACCTGGACTGTGCCTTCCAGGAACATTCTGGTGGGAGCTCAAAGCTACCATCAAAATCATGAAGAGTAGGTTTAATTTATTTACTTACTCGTTATGTTATTTCTGATATGTAATATGCGAAGCTATTTCAAGTCAAGCATGTCAGATTGTGTGCTCTGTTGCTCACTGATGTTGCACTTCTTTCAGAGATCGACGATGGAGGTATAAGGTCTGTGTCCAGTACAGATGTTGATTCTGAGATTCAATATTCTCTCGCGGTTCATGATGAATATTCTCTCTTGATCCTCTGAAATAAACGCAAGTTGAAAGCAAAACTGTGGCTGATCTCTGTGTTAAATTCTGAAAGTTGAAAACGTGTGAGTGTGTGTGTGCATGAGTTAGTTCAGGCAAGAATTTTAAAAAAATTTACATTTTATATTAGTACTCAGTTTATGCTTGTAGAAATTAAGGCATTAATATCAGCATCATAAAATTAAGCAAAAACCTACTCAATTGGGGCATGAATAATTAATAAAGTTGCGTTTTCCTGCCGTTTGTACACTGTTTTATCATCATCAGGTTTAAGTACCTTGCGTGCTGTTTTGTAAATGATCCATGTTATGTTTTTGTCATTGTGTACCCAGTATTGTGAGGTCTCTGTTACTTTATTCCGTATGACATTTACTTAAAAAAAAAAAAAAATCTGCATGCAAAAACTTGCAAAAGAAAAAGTGAATTTAACTTGTTTTTATATTATGTAGCAGCACATAATGTCAAAACTGCTAATAATGTTATATAAGTAATATAATAACATTTTTATAATACAATCTTGAGCTCAAAATGCAATAACACTTTTTACATAATGAAAAAAAAAACATTGCTATTCCTTTACAGTATATTTAAAAAAAAATCTAAATCCAGTCTTAAACAATTTAAATAGCCATGCAATTATTTATCATATCATTTTCTCTGAAATGTCATTTTTGTTTTCAGTGGCATTGCACAGCCCAATAATATCTTTAGTTTGTTATTTTCTATTTAGTTAATTATGTACAAAAATGAAAAGCACCTCTGATCGTATTGCTAAAAGAAAAATCTACGATCAACGGAGGGGGTTGAAACAGAGCACTTAACTCCGGATCAGAAGATAACAAATGCCAATGCTTTTTAAAAATGGATCTTTGTTGACTACGAGTGTGCAACTTTAAAATGTACGTCTGGGAAAAGCAGCTCAAAATAACAGGGCATGTCATAATCACAAAATTAGTAACCTTTTGAAGCTGAATGTTGAGTTCACATTATAAGCCTATAAAAGCTTGTACCTTTTATTTTAAAATGTACTTTACATTTACATGTTGTGCTAAAATGTATTACATTGAAAGATGCATCAAAACAAGTTAAGCAGTTTCAACTTTATTAGTTACACAAGCTTCAACTTATTTTGAAACAGTTTATTATAATTTAAGTTGAAATGGCTTATACAGCTAATTTAATTGTAATTTAATTCAGCAACTGAACCCAAGGTTTGTTTCTTCATTGCATGCTCATGAGTTGAATCAGGGGTGTTAGATTAGGAAAATACAGTAAATATGTACTGTTGTATTTTCTCCAGGAACAGGGATGGGAAATATTGTCTTATAGATTCATGTTGAGATAAGGGTTCACAGAGCAAACATATGTTTTAAAGTAATATATTTATCCATTTACTCGTCTAATATTGTCAGTCATAAATAGAGGATGACTGTAAACATTGTACACACTGTAAACTTCTTTGTTCAGATGACAGATGTTCTTGCTTCCATTAAACTTCTTAAGTCACGCTGAAGACATTCTGAAATTCATGTAAATTTTTCTATTCAAATTTCCACTCCTATTATTATGCTGATAAAATAATTTACACTGTAACATAAATTAAAAAGTGATGTCAGAGTTTTTGTATCTCTTCCTGAAAAAAAGGTATTCATATTCTATATACGTTGCTATTGTTCAAACACTAATTATTTTATCAATTAGAAATAATTATGATTCATTCAGAACACCTGGAACCCAATTTTATTTCATATTGGCTGATTTTACAGTACTTCAAGACCCTCTCATATACATTTACAGTCTTAGACCTATCAGCATTTTTCTTCTTAAATTCTTAGGTCAATAATGACTGTATGTTTCCATCTTGTCTTCATTTCAGATTTGAATTTGAGTGTATTTGCTTCTGAGGGAATTTGTGAGAGTCTCAGCATTGCACTTTGGTACAATACTTGTACTTCCAGCACCGGTCTCTGAAAAGCATGTAAAAAACCCCCCATCATATTAGTATTGAAATAGGCAGTTTCATGTGCTATTATGGTTCCAGCATCATACTTACGTCTTCTGAACACTTTTATCAATATTCAAATTAACCAAATAATTCAAGACAGGACAGGTCACAATGTCGAAGACCACACATGCTGCAACATTCAATGAGTTAAGGCCAATTGCATTAACATCTCTCATTATTAAATGTTTTAAAGGAGACATATTATGCCCCTTTTTACAATATGTAATATAAGTCTCTGGTGTCCGCAGAATGTGTCTGTGAAGTTTCAGCTCAAAATACTCCACAGATCATTTATTATATCATTTTGAAAATGCTTATTTTGAGTGGAAGCAGAAACACGCTGTTTTTCGTGCCTGTCTCTTTAAATGCAAATGAGCTGCTGCTCCCCGCCCCCTTTTCCAGAATAGAGCTGCGCCATTACAGCTCGGACCTGCTAAAAACATCTGTTTTGGTTCTGATGATCATGTTTATCGTGCTGAAATCATGCGTTTTAAACCATACGAGTTTAAACTTCATACACAATGTGCGTTTTTTGCCCTTTATATTTAGACTTTTAATATACTAATATTTTGACAGTATGCAAAAGTGTGCCAGGTCAAATTAAATTTATGTTATTGACTCTTTTGGAGAATCTTTGACACAGTTCAGCCAATCTGACCTGCTTAACTGTGATGCTTTGTTCATTTTTATCAGGGGATCATGGATCATTAGTATGTGTACAGTAAACGTAGATTTACATTTACATTTAGACATTTAGCAGACGCTTTTATCCAAAGCGACTTACAATTGGGGGATACATAAAGCGATTCTTCTTAAAAGAGGCAAACAGATACAGGAAGTGCTTGTAATAGACCGAAGTTGATGGGGTAATTGTAGAAGAACCTAGCTGGATGGAGAAATCATACTGTAGAGTTGGAGTGGCAGGGAAGACGATCTGTACGTTAAACATTGCTATGTTCGTTTTGTTTGAGTGCTTGTTTTTGAAAGCCTTAACTGTGATGCTTTGTTCATTTTTATCAGGGGATCATGGATTATTAGTATGTGTACAGTAAACATAGATAAGCTGTACGTTAAACATTGCTATGTTAGTTTTGTTTGAGTGCTTGTTTTTGAAAGCTAAACTTAATGAAATATAAGTGGTGTAAATTTACTCAGAGAAGGCTAAGGCTCATTGTTACTGAGATAAGATAAAAAAATATTATTGGACTTTATAGTAGATTTTTAAAAAATAATACAATCCGATTTGTTTAGGCAAACTCTCAAATAATTACACTGGTATTAAATCATGAGACACAGATGGATTTTTTCTTAATAAAAAAGGTGTGGTGTTAAATGCTAACATGGCATTTTATGGGTCAACAATTGCATTACTAAATAACTCTTCTGTAAAGTAAATTAAATGTCTGACTTTTTTCTTGCGGTTGCGAGTTATAAAGTCAGAATTGGAAGATACAAACTTGCAATTGTGAGAAAAGTCAGAATTGTGAGCTAAATAGTCACCGTATACCTCAAATTTATACCAGAATTGTGAGATGTAAACTCATAATTGCGATATATAAACGGCCATTTGCTAGGTCAGAATTGTGAAAATACCAAATCAATCTTTGAGATGCGATTGGTCCACTGATTAGTCCGGTTATCCAATCACATCCTCTGTTGAGGCAGATTCACATGAGTTTTTTGTTGTGCATTGAGGGATTTATTCAGTAAATGTGTTTCCATCATGTTATATAGCCTACGCATGCCTTCTTAACAGATTAAAAAAAAAAAATATATATATATATATATATCTGCCTGCATGTTTTATGATGCACATTTTTGGAATTTATACGCATCTTTTTGTGCAATATCCCCAAAATTTGCATTTGGAAACAAGAAAGTAGTGTTTAAGACTTTCTTTATGAAAAGGCCTATGATATAGTTTTTAAACCTGTATGGATGGATGCACACATGCATCAATTGTGCATTTTTACATTAAATTAAATCATTTGAAATCATGAAAATCAACAGAACACATGAAAGCAGAAATTGGATATGGTCATTTCCTTTAAAAAGTGTCCTTCCAAGCAACATCTTCACCATGATGCAGACCAGATATCAACTAAAACAGAAAAAAAATAAAAATAATAATAAATCACATCATTCAATAAATGTTTGTTAATATGTTATCAAACCTGAACAGGCCTGGACATCTTCCTAAAAGATAAAAAAAATCAAAACGACTTTTGCTAGAAACGTGGCAAGGTTGGATATTCCATCAGGGAAATTATCCAATAATAAAA